CCCAATAATTTGATGTTCCTGGGACTGTAATTTTAGCAATTTGAAAATGTTTCAACAAATATAAATTTTATGTAGTCATTTGATCTTTTACACTATGAGACCACAGTGTATGGTTAGGCCCATTGAGAAATGGGCTCAAGTCTTACCTCTGCAGATCACTAACCATGTGAACTTTAATAAGTTATTATAGCCTCTCAGGGATATAATGGTTGTAAGAGAAGGATTAATAAAATCAGAAGAGGAAAGTGGCTTGGAGAAAAGGGGGTAAATTCTGTTTGGGGTAATTTGAGTTGAAGAGTCTAACAATTAATCCTTTTGCTAGTATACCTAAGGAAGGAATATTGGGGAACACCAACTTTCATGCAAAAGAAAGATCAAGCGTGTCTGGGTTAGAGATAGGAATTCGGGATTGTGAAGTATTGTCTTTTCCTTAGAAATAAATCCTTAACCTCCAAGATAGAGAAGAGGCCAGGTTGTATGAGGCTAACTTTATTCTTCAATAATCATAAGATGCATTTTCCTGGGAGTGGGGGTGTGAGAGGGTTTCTCTGCCTTTTCATACTTGTTTCTGGAAACATGATGATTGTAGAAACAGGAAAACTTTCACTTTGATTCAGAGAACATCTGACACAAAGTTTAAAAATCCCAGCAAAACTTTGCCAGACTCAGCCCTTCTCAGTGTGTTCTGTGACACAAAATCATTGGGACATGATGGAATAAAGAGCTCAAAAGAGTTTGGAAATGCTTGAGTTACACAAAGGTAAATAATTTTTTAAAAATTATAAAATCTTGTTTTATTTTGCTTCATTTCATTTTGACCGGACTTTGGTTTTGAAGTTATTACTATTCACTATCAATCATTGAGACAAAACTATAGAATGCTGATGAAGGATTTTGAAGTAGAGAATCATTTTTAAAAATTCAAAGCATAACAGAGATAAAAAGATTCCTAACTTCTCTTTAACTGGGATGTGCTGCAGGTGTGTTTCTTTTCCTAGCTCCCAATCTTTCTCACTGTGACCATCCTCAAACCCACCGTCCAGGATCCCAAACTAACATCTTTTCTCTTAAGATTTTTGGCCAAGACAGGTTAATCTTGTTTTCCCTCCAAACTGGGGCCCATCTTGAATTCCTGTCCATGAACTTGCCTCTTTTGTGGGCCTTTGACATGAAAGCTGACCTCACTTAGATAATATTATTCTCCATGATTAGTATGAAGTAGTATTAATTTTGTAAGTTTGAACTGAATAATCACATTTCAAAACAATATAATCTTATGATATTTGTTATGGTTTAAATTTGTCCCCCTGCCCCTGATTCATATGTTGAAGTTCTAACCCCCTAGAACCTCAGGATGTGATTGTACTTGGAGAATGTGTTCAGAGATAATTAAGTTAAAATGAAGCCATGAAGGTGGACTCTAATCTACTATGACAAGCACCCTTATAAAAAGAGGAAATTTAGAGCCAGACATGTACAGGGAAAAAACGGTGTGAAGACACAGGAAGAAGACAGCCATTGTCAAGCCAAAGAGAGTTGCCAGAAACATCCCCTTCCCTCACAAGCCTTTGTGGGGGAAACTTGATCTAAGACTTCTAGCCTCCATACTCTGAGAAAATACATTTCTGTTGTTTAAGCCTTCCTATCTGTGGTACTTTGTTATAGCAACCCGAGGAGGGTAATATAATAATTCATTTGTAAAAACATATATAGATGAGGGATGTTAAAGGGAAAGGCTAGGAACTATAATTTCCTCAAAATGAGGTAGGCATCTTCATCAAGGGCATTTTTGAAGTCTGGTGAAGGATGGGATCATTGAGGAAAAGATTACAGAGAAAAAAAAAATGATCAAAGGAAGAAACTTTAAGAAATGTCTATTTTTTTTCTTTTTGAGAGAGAGAGACAGAGACAGAGAGAGAGAAGGAGGGAGGGAGAGAGGGTGGTGCATATAGAGAGGGAGAAAGAGAATCCCAAGCAAGCTCTGTGCTGACAGTTCAGTGTGGGGCTCAAACACGTAAACCTTGAAATCATGGCCTGAGCTGAAATCAAGAGTCAGATGCTTAACTTACTGAGCCATCCAGGGGCCCCATAAAATGTCTATTTTAACTCAAAAGATAGAAAGAGTGGAATGCAGGTGATGTGGGCATTGAGAGGCAGGAGGAAAAGCATAAACTTGATGCACTATAGAAGCTGAAGAAGGAAAAAGATTTTAGTTAGGGATCTCCTACATTAAATTTTGAAGCATGATCATATTTGACAGACACGGAAGAGTCGTATTGTTATTTTATGTAGAACTATCAATTTTAAAGGAATTGTAAAGACAATAATCTAATTTGTTTTAAGAATATGAATTCAGCAAACTCTGAAATCCAGGCAGCAACGGAGGATCACTCTCAACAAATAGAAATTAATTTTGAGAAGCACAAATAATCCAATTAAAACATGGGCAGAGGACCTGAAGAGACATTTTTCCAAAGAAAATGTACAGATGGCCAACAGACACACGAAAAGATATTCACCATCACGAATCATCAGGGGAATGCAAATCAAAGCCAACTTACACCTGTCAGAGTGGCTAGAATAAAAAAGAAAAGAAACAATAAGTGTTGGTGAGAACGTGGAGAAAAAGGAACTGGGATGCACCCTTGGTGGGAATGTAAATTCGTGGAGCCACTGTGGAAAACGGTATGGCAGTTCTTCAAAAACTTAAAAATAGGAATACCAAATTATCCAGTAAATCCACTAATGAGTATTTACCTAAGGAAAATGAAAACACTAACTTGGAAAGGTATATGCACCCATATGTTTATGACAGCATTATTCGCAATAGACAAGATATAGAGGCAACTCAAGTGTCCATTGATAGATAAATGGAGAAGATGTATATGCAGTGGAATATTATGCAATGGAATATTATTAAGCCATAAAAAAGAATGAGATCTTGCTATTCACAGCAACATGGTTGGACCTAGAGGGTATTATGTTAAATAAAATAAGTCAGAAAAAGATAAATACCATATGATTTCATTTATATGTATAATCTAAAAAATAAACAAAACAAGCTAACAACCAACTCTTTTTTTTTAAATATTGTATTTATTTTTGTGAGAGAGATAGAGACAGCATGAGCAGGGGAGGGTCAGAGAGAGAGGGAGGAGCAGAATCTGAAACAGGCTCTAGGCTCTGAGCTAGCTGTCAGCACAGAGCCCGACGCAGGGCTCGAACCCACGAACCGCGAGATCATGACCTGAGCAGAAGTCGGACACTCAACCGACTGAGCCACCCAGGCGCCCCAACAACAAACTCTTAAATATAGAAAACTAGCAGATGGTTGCCAGAGGGGAGATTGAGGGGGATGGGCGAAACAGATAAAGGGTATTAAGGGCTACAAATTTGCATTTATGGAATAAATAAATCATAGAGATGAAAGGTATGGCATGGGGAATATAGTCAGTAATATTTTTAAAAAGAAAAAAAGACATATTAGTTGCTATGCTTTTGAAAAATACAATTGAGTTGATACAAGAAATTTCAAAAATTTTAATAAGAAAAAGTCATTTGGTGAAATATGTTCAGTCAACGAGGAATTCCTAGGGCCTCTGTCCTAGGGGGAAAGTCATAGAGAACATGGGAGCCAGCCCTAGAGAGAGGCTTTTGAAAATTCATAGAGGACGGAGGGCACCATGGGTGTGAATTGTGATTCTATGTGACAAATCAATCCCTGCTGAAAGCTGTACCCTATGGAGGGGAGAAAATGACATAAATGCTGACCAAATTCAAAACGAAATCGCCTGGAACATACTGTGTTTACAAATTTCCGTTAACCAGTTCTAGAAAGTCCCGTCATGTAGTGTACGTTGTATGGTTTCTCCTGGTAGTTGAAGGAGAAAGCAGAAATGAAAAAGCTGTTTTGCAATCTGTGCAGTAGAATTCATTCTTTCAACCGTTGTTATTGAATGCAGAACTGTATTATCCTCTATTTGAAGAACGCAACAACATACACCATGGCAACCAAAGCACCAGGCCCATATGCCATTTCAGCCACCCCAACGAGACTAATAATAGTAATCATTTTCATTTTCCTCATTAACTCCAAGCAATATTTATAGCCATCTTTTAAGACAAAATTCCCTTTTATTGTCTTGAAGAAAAACTGTCTCACTGAATTTCAAAATAATAATGCATATCTGAACATATAATGGCATTATTCCCTCACAGTGTTATATGTTTCATTTTATTCAACATATTAGATTCTTTCTTATTTTCTAGTTCACATAGACATATTATAAAATCATTATTCAGATAGTGACAAAAATGTTTATTTTCTCTTGACATTTGGGTGCATTAAATCTCTATGTGTTTGAAGGGCCTGGACTTCTAACATCATTGTGGAAAATGGGAGCTAAAATTAAGAAATTGAACCCCCTTGGGGCACCTGGGTAGCTTAGTCAGTTAAGTGTCCAACTTTGGGTCAGGTCATGATCTTAAGTTTCTTGGGTTTGGTGCTGAGTTGGGCTCTGTGCTAAGAGCTCAGAGCCTGCCTCAGATTCTGTGTCTCCTTCTCTCTCCCGGTCCCTCCCTGATTTGTGCTCTGTCTCTCTCTCAAACATTACATATTAAATAATAAAAAAAAAGAAATTGAACTCCCTTTATAAATTTATCTCATGGAGTGCCTGGGTGACTTTCGTTTAAGTGTTCGATTCTTGATTTTGCTCAGGTCATGATCCCATGGTTTGTGAGAATGAACCCTGTATGGGGCTCTGAGCTAAACAGCATGGAGCCTGCTGGGATTCTCTCTCTCCCCCTCTTTCTCTGCCCTTCACCCCTGTTCCCCTACTGTCTCTCTCACTCTCCCTCTCAAAATAAATAAGATTTTAAAAATTTACCTCCTGTGTTTCTTTTCCTCTTTCTCCATATTTTAAAGGATAAAATAGAAGGCAGTAGGAGCTGAGTTCTGTAAGGAGACTAAACAGCCATCTTTCTCCTTCCCTCTCTTCCAGTGTACGTCCATGATACAGTAGACACTTCAGCGGTTTTCGGGACTTCAGGGTCAACTTTCAACAACCCAAGTATTTTATTCTAGAGGCATGGAAGTTAGAGAAACTAAGTCTACTTAACAGAATTTATCTATCTTTTCAGCATTCTTGACAAAATAATAATAATGATAATTTGATGTCCTATGGCCTAAAAGCAATTTTAATTCTTTTCAAATTTGTTTGTTTAAGAAATCTCTGTACCCAATCTGGGACTCAAACTCATAATCTTGAGATCAAGAGTTGAATGCTCTTCTGATTGAGCTAGCCAGGTGGCCCTGGAAACAATTTTAAAGTTTTAGATAACTTTTCGCCTGAACAGAGGCTCAGCCAGTATGGAATCATAACCAAAGATTTTTGCAGTGTGTTTACATCAAGGGTGTAAAATGTAACTTAGTGTCTTGGTTTTTCTTATGTATGAAGAGAAGATGAGGAAGTTTGATTGGTACTTAATTTTTTAAATGTTTATTTATTTTTGAGAGAGAGACAGTGTGAGCAGGGAAGGGGCAGAGAGAGAGGGAGACACAGAATCTGAAGCAGGCTCCAGGCTCCATGCTGTCAGCACAGAGCCTGACACGGGGCTCGAACCCACGAACCGTGAGATCGTGACCTGAGCCAAAGTCGGATGCTTAACCGACTGAGCCATCCAGGCGCCCCAGTAGATTTGATCACTATAAGCAGTGGGGTCACTCAGGATCTGAACTATGATTCAAAGCCCAGGTCTTTATTACTGGGCTCCTGGCTTCCTGTGTGAAGAATAAAGAGGACTAGGTGTTTAGAGCTCTAGAAATTTACCCAATTCTAGTAGATTACTATTTAAGCATTTTTTCAGCTTTCTTGAGGTATAGTTGGAAATAAAGTTGTAGGATATTTAAAGAGTACATCACAGGGATGTGATATGTGTATACATTGTGGCTTCTTCCATCTAGTTAATTAACGCAGTCAATGTCTCACATTTTTATCTTTTTTTTTTTTTTTTTGATGAGAACATTTAAGTTCTCCTCTCTTAGCAAATTTCAATTATACTATACAGTGTTATCAACTATAGCCACCATGTTTTACATTAGATCTCAGCCCTTATTTAATTTATAGCTGAAAGTCTGTATCCTTTTATTGACCTCTCCTATTTTCCCCGCTCCCTGGCAACCACCTTTCTACTCTATTGCCATGAGTTTGACATTTTTTAGGATTCTGCATATAAGTGATACCATGTGGTATTTTCTTTCTCTGTCTGGTTTATTTCACTTAGCATAATGCCTTCAATGTCCATGCGTGTCGTCGCAGATGTTACTATTATTAAAGTTCTTAGTGGCAGTCAAGAGTGAGCTCATGCAGCCCGCTCTGGGGAGAACATTCAGATGGGCTCTGGATTCAGGCTTTGCAGTTGGGTCACCAGTGTGTGTTGTAGCCATGCATCATACCTGATAAACTGAGCTCAGTGAACCAACTGCTCTGTAGCTTGTTTTCTGTTCCACCTTGTCCAACATCTTATCATGAAAAAGTTCAAATATATAGAAAGTTGACATATTATACAGTGAATATTTATAGATCCACCACCTCAATTCTCCAATTAAACTTTTATGTAGCTTGCTTTTTAAATAATGGCGATGTTGTCATTGGAAACGGGACTGCGCTCCTGTATCTGCTGACATGAAGATGGAATTATTTATATCTCTAATCTGTCTACTAAATTATCTATGGGCCTCCCTCAAAATACTCACTTTTGAAGTACTTTTCTATGCCTAAGCCACTCCAACTGAGATTCAGTTCCAGGTATTAATCAAGTGTGTCTGCAAACTTGTCATGTTTGACTGTGACAGGTGAGAGATTTGCATTACAACTTAGACTACCCCACAACACCCACCTATGCTACTGCACTAGGAATGCTAACTTCAGCCTCAATCTTCTCTGCTTCTCCCCAGTCATTTGCCTAAGGGTGAAAAGCAGGCAGTGAGAGCAAAAACGTTCTAGGAAGCTCTCATAGGAGTGTGCTTTTCCTATTTGGGTTGTGGTTTTAACAAAAAGAAAATTCTTCCTGAGCTTTTATTGAGGCTAGACCTTACACTTAGTACTGTAAAACCTTGGTTTGCGAGCATAATTCGTTCCGGAAACATGCCTGTAACCCCAAGCACTCGTCTATCAAAGCGAATTTCAAGCTCGGTTTCATTATGTGATGTTTGGCATCACGTACTACTCATATTGCAAGACATTGCTCATTTATCAAGTTAAAATTTATTAGAAACGATGTTACTCGCAGTCTAAGGTTTTACTGTATTTGTAAAGTAGTTCTCCTCTGAAGATTTATGAGGACATTTGCTATTCCATACGGACCTGCTTGGTTTAATGTTCAACTAGCTTTAGAGGACATCTGTATATTGTTTAAGTAATATACAAATCTACCTTTAGTCTCATTATCACGTTGTCTAGTGGATGTTCTGATTAGAGTCCACAGCTCTCCTTGGGAGGCATAATTTGAGCCTGAAGAGTCAGACACCCTAGGCCCTGATTGAAGGAATGTACTCTGGTCCAGGTTAACAGACTCAGAGGGATCAAGATCAGTTTAGCTTTCTAGTTATAATTGTTTATATCTAGTTTATAATTGACTGCTGCAATACATTTAGAGAACTGTATAGCTTCTATGTATAAAGAGCCAAATTTTTTTTTCTAGTTGAACAAATTATGTCTGTATATAGTGTTCAAATGTATTTTAAGATTTGAAACATGGTAGCAGCTTCATCTATAAAAAATATAAACTTACGGAATTTGAAGTCCTTACACTGCTGGCTTTATACGAAGGCACATGTTTTGGTAACCTGCATGGCATAAAATACAAACTATAAAAACCCCAGGAAGGTAGTCAGCAGAGTGTTTTCTCATACTTTACTCCAATCAGGGAACTGTTGTGAGTCGGGTAGAAGAAATACATGCGTAGAAGAAATGGCTTTTGACTCCCGGTAACGTTCAGCTAGGAAAATCTTCACCATAACTGAGATGCGGTATATTGTGTGACGGCAGCAGATGTCTTTGTAGGTGACATTTTTACAGAAGGCAGTTAACAGAGTGCTTTTGAGGCATTTCCCTGTTAAGCATTTTGAGTATTTTAGATACATGAAATATCAAATGGGAAAAAAAATCGCTAGAGTAGTAGCACAATGGGTAACGAAATAGGTGAAGCCATTTAGTGTGAACACTGGGTGCTCGCTGATGAGACTGTGTCACGTTCCACCTTTTCTGTTCAAATTTCACTTAACTTGCACTTTAGCACATTAGATAGACCCCAGCACGTGTTGCGTATATCTAAGTTATCGTTTTCACGTATCAGTTACCTAATGATTTCAAGGTCTTCCGTGGGTCTACAGTCCTATCCTCCTGTCTGTTCATGCTATGTTGGCATATAGGGCAGGTATCTGCTTTTCTGCTTGAACTTCCTCTGCCCCAGTGCCGTGGGCAGTGCAGGGCTTAAGCAGGTGGCAGTCAGCTTGGTGATGCTCTCTGAGGTCACCTCTCCTGGTTGTTGGGGGGCAGGAGATAAACAATAACCCTTGATCCGTTGCTTCTGATACTAACCAGATTCAGTTTGAAGGCCAGCTTTCTGACAGGCCTATGATAGAAGGTGGCAGCTCTTTGGGCAAGGGAATGCCTGACTAAATGTGGAAGAACATAGAAATGACCATTTGGCTCCCAGGTGAGCAATTTCCAGACAACTGAGAAAATTATCACCCACCAACTAGATTGCATGGCCCTGTGGGTGGCCGTACCAGAAAGAAACTTAATTCAGGAATGATTTCTTGTGCCTTTTTTTCTTAGGGAACAAGGTAACACGCAGGTCTGTTGCCTAACTTCGAGACAATAAATTTTGTAACATTTTTTTCTTAGATACATTATGTATGAAAATAGGGAGTTTTATATACATTATTTCAGATTCCAGGAAGTGACAATATGAAGTATGCAAGAGCAAAGGATAAGGCACTAGGGGAGATGACTCAGATACCAGAGGAGACCTAGCGTGACAAAGGAGGAATGGGTTCCAAATTAGGATGTAGGTTATACTCTTGACATTTCCTCAATGTTTGTTTCACTAAAGAAATCAGTGGTTTACAGAGAAATAACAGCTGTATGATGTGGCTGGTATGTGAAGAAAGAAATCTTGTAGAAAGTATTAAGGAAGCATACTTAAAGCCAGTTAATTTGTTCATTAGTTATTTGTTGAGTGTCTACTATGGGCCAGGCACTTTTCCGGCAACTGGGATGCAACATGAAACAAAACAGAGAAAACCCTTTGCTCTCTTGTTACTACATTTTTGTGGGATTCAAGCGTCCTCAGTAGACCTTTGTACTTGTTATCCAGGTGACCACATTAGGAGTATCCTTTACAGGATAATGATTATAGTACTTTGAGTGGGTGATCCACTTCTGACCTATGTAGACTTGTTATCCCAAGGTTTGAGATGTAGAAGCAAGGATCTAGGAGGTGAGCTGAAGAAGGATTGAGCTGAGAAGTCAGCATACATTTACTCTCTAAGGGAGAGGAAGGAAGCTATTTGCTATAGGCAATCAAATATAGTTACCTCCAGCCTCCAGATTTAGGGATGGAAATGGAAGAATAGTACCTGGAGATATTATGACTAGTTTGGGATGTACTTTGCATCTCTTTTTGTTAAATAGCAACAGCTAAGATATGTACAATGCCTCATTATCTCCACTTTTCTTTCCCCCTAACTTATCTGATTTCAACCTAACCTAGATGTACTGCTATTGGGTACATAGGAGAAGTAATATTAGCCTAATTGTGTATGAGGACTGATAGCTGGACTGGTAGAAGGAGGTTAGAGTCTTTAATGTACTGACAGTTTAAAAAATTTTTTAAATGTTTATTTATTTTTGAGAGAGAGGGAGACAGAGCATGAGCAGGGGTGGGGCAGAGAGAGAGGGAGACAGAGCACAAGCAGGGGAGGGGCAGAGAGAGAGGGAGACACAGACTCTGAAGCAGGTTCCAGGGGCTGAGCTGTCAGCACAGAGCCTGAAGTGAGGCTTGAGCCCGTGACCCTTGAGAGATCATGACCTGAATAAAATCAGACACTTACCAGACTGAACCACCCAGGTGGCCCAATGTATTGACAGTTTTTAACCAGAGACCAATATCAAGTGGGGGGAAAAATCT